TGAACACATTTCACAATCCCCCATCTTCTTTTTTATGGTATTGATTCGTGTTTTTGTTTCTAATTGAGTCAATACTTGCCGAATTGGTGCCAATTTTGGATTTTCTTTTGTCTTTAGTATACTGCAGTTATCTGCATTCCTTGTATGACCAAGTGTATCAGTCTAGTAAGACAAGGTATTAAACATGGAATTATTAACAATCCTCCACATCCTTCCAAAGCTTAACAGAGTCTGCCCACCACTGACATGCAGGAGCGCACCACGTTCCTGTTGGAGGTTCTGGGCATCGACGCCGAGGAGCTCACCGTGCTCCTGACGGAGTCCCTGGACATAACCCAAATATGCCGAGACCTGCTGGGCAAGCTCAAGGAAGTTCCAGATAGGACCTCTGCGCTCCTCTGCGGAGCTGTGAGGAAAAAACATCTCCTCTGCTCACAGCGTGGCCAATGCTTCACTGGCCACTGCCCGCACTGCCACGTGCCCACGGCAGACCAGGACTTGCCCACGCTGACCGCCATCCTCCACACTCTGAACATCCCGGTGCACGAGGAGGACCTGCTGCTGGAAGTGGGTCTGGTCTTTAAGCTGGCCATCGACGGGGAGCCAGTCTTTGTGTGGGAGAGGACACAGCGGTTCCCCAAAAACACCCCGAAGAGACCCTGCAAGAGCCAATGGCATTCTGGCTTGTATCAAAAATAGTGTGACCACAGATGTAGGGAGGTGATTGTGCCCCTGTACTCAGCACTGGTGAGGCCACACCTCGAGTATTGTGTCCAGTTTTGAGCACCTCATATATATCAAGGAACTCACCCCGAGCAGAAGAGGTCCGGTCAGGGCCATAGTGATCGGCGGTCACAGCCCGAAGGGGTTGCAGCCCTTGGCAGACCTTTTCAAGCTGCAACACCGGTTCCCCTCCGGTCTTGCCCTCTTCTTTTATCCTAAGGGGTGGCCTTTTCTGATTTGTATGTATGCTATGTCCCAAAAATTTGGCATATACTGTGGATAGCCTGTTACTGCTCTCTATATACCAATTTTTACAAGAGTAGTCACGATAAAATTCCCACAGCCACTTGGCTTATATTCTTTGATGAAGGCCTTTTCAGGTTCGTCTGATGGTTAGCTTAGTTTCTCCGGGCTCAGATGTGACTCTCCTTCACTGGACCTTTCACTCATGACACATGTGTCCATCCTTTTTCAGCAGTTCTCACAGCCGTTTCTGTAGTTAATAAAACAAGAAAAGGTCCTTCCCAAAGGGGAGATACAAGCTCCAACAGGGTAGGTTTAGACTGAACATTAGGAAAGAATTTTTCACCGAAAGAGTGGTCGGGCATTGGAACAGGCTGCCCAGGGAGGTGGTGGAGTCACCATCCCTGGCTGTGTTTAAGGGCCGTTTAGATGCAGTGCTAAGGGACATGGTGTAGGGGAGGACTTTGTAGAGTAGGGTAGATGGTTGGACTCGATGATCCCAAGGGTCTCTTCCAACCTAGACGATTCTATGATTCTATGATTAACACGAATCAGGTGAACACATTTCACAGGGTGCACAACAGAAGATGAGGAAAGAAACAGGACCCCCAGAAGGCGCGACTCCGCATGTCCAAAAAGCTCCTTTGTAATAGAAACTCGTTAGAAACTCATTCTAAACCCCACATTTGCGCCTGAGGGAGCTTTATCCGCCCGTTGGCGGCAACACGGTTGGGATCGCTCGCCGCCATTTTGTCTCCCCTCAGCGGCCTCTCCACCGTTGGCCAACGGCTGGGGGAAGGCGGGAAAGCGCCACCGCGCGGGCCCGGCGTTGCCAGGCAACGGGCGGGACGCCCCAGCGCCGCGTCTGCGCATGCGCGGTAGCCGCCGCCTCACCGGGAGGGACTAGGCCTCATGAGGCGTGGAACGGTCCGGGAGGAGGCGGAGGCGCCGGGAGAGTGGCGGGACCCGGCCCCGACCCTCGGTAACCCCGACCTTGGCCCCGAGGAACGTATCGCCGCCCGCCGGCGCCGCATCGCCGCCCGTCTCGATGCCGGTCCTTCCCTGCCCCACAGCGACACCGAGCACCTCACCTTCCCCCCAAAGCCCATGTCTGGTCACAAATGAGCTCATCTTCCCCAAACGCCATGTCTGGTCACAAATGAGCTCATCTTTCCCAAACGGGTGGTGGGGTTGATGCCTCCAGCCCCAAAGTGGTGCCAGTTGCAGATCTCTCACCCAAACTGGCTCTGGGATTGATGCCCCCAGCCCCAAACCGGTACCAGTTGCAGATTCCTCCCCCCAAACTGGTGGTGGGGTTGATGCCTCCAGCCCCAAACCAGTGCCAGTTGCAGATAACAACCCCAAACTGGTGCCAGTTGCAAATCCTCCCCCCGTACTGATGGTGGGATTGATGGCCCCAGCCCCAAAGTGGTGCCAATTGCAGATCCCTCACCCCAAACCAGTGCCAGTTGCAGATCCCTCCCCCCCAAACTGGCACTGGGATTGGTGCCCCCAGCCCCAAAGTGGTGCCAGTTGCAGATCTCTCACCCAAACTGGCTCTGGGATTGATGCCCCCAGCCCCAAAGTGATGCCAGTTGCAGATCCCTCACCCAAACTGGTGGTGGGGTTGATGCCCCCAGCCCCAAAGTGGTGCCAGTTGCAGATTCCTCCCCCAAACTGGCACTGGGATTGATGCCCCCACCCCCAAACCGGTACCAGCTGCAGATCCCTCCCCCCAAACTGGTGGTGGGATTGATGCCCCCAGCCCCAAAGTGATGCCAGTTGCAGATTCCTCCCCCCAAACTGGTGGTGGGGTTGATGCCCCCAGCCCCAAAGTGGTGCCAGTTGCAGATCCCTCACCCCAAACTGGCTCTGGGCTTGATGCCCCCAGCCCCAAAGTGATGCCAGTTGCAGATCCCTCACCCCAAACTGGTGGTGGGGTTGATGCCTCCTCTGCCCACCTCGGACAAACCCAGCCTGGATCAGGCTGATATTCCCCAAACTGGGACTCACCAACAATGGGGCACACCTTTCCCCAAAGCAGGACTGACCTGGGGCCCTGTCCCAAGCCTTTGCTGTCCCTCCAGGCTGGGTGACATCGGACTGTGAAATGGCAGGATCCTGTCACCCTCTCCTGAGCTGGGCTGGGTCATCGTCCCCATTGTCCCCCAGCCTGGGGAAAACTGGGGTGCTAACCACCATCTCCTCCTCAAACCACGAGTAAACCACACCAAGGTGCCTGTGGATCCTGTTACCAACCCGTGGGGCCAAACTGGTCACTAACATCCAGCCCAACGGGCTCCTTTATCCCTTCCTGATCCCAGAGCCCTCTCTTGAGGTTAGACGGATCCCAAGGAACTGGCATGGGGTCGGTGCCAGCCCTGAAATGCCTCCAGGTAGAAGCTGGCTGTCTTCGTGGACGAGCAAATGTCCCCCACAGCCACCTAAGGGTCCCCCTGTCCCCTGCCCTCCTCCCCTCTGGGAAGCAAAGAGGGGCTGAGCCCCCCAGCCCTGCACTCCCAGCCCCGGAAAGGGAAGCCTGGACCCCGTTTTCCCTCAGGGAGGCTGGTCCCACCCTTTTCTGCCTCTTTTTCTGCATCTGTGGGGACCTCCTGGCCTGGGACTAAACCTGCTGAGGAGAAGGGAGAGTAAAGTACTGAACCACACAGTTCTGGGGTAGGATCCCAGACCTAAGGCCACCTCTGAGCATCAGGAAGATGGTGTGGTGTGAAATGTTCTGTCTTTTCCCCCTTTTCTGCCCAGGGAGACTCTTGGAGAAGATGAGGAGCCAGAGGTGGCTGTGGAGGAGGAAGAGCAGAGAAAGAGCCACAAGCAGATTGAGGAGAGCAGGCAGGTAGGACAGGAAGGTCCTCTCAGGTCCCTGATCTCTAGACACTTGGTTTTACCTTCCTTTTAGCTTTGTGAGGTGCTTAGTGTCATACAGCAGCATTTGTGTGAGAAGAAGCAGGGACAGAAGCTCCTCAGGACTGGATGGGGAGGTGATCCTTGGGCTGGATCCTGGGGGGAATATGATTTCCCTGTGACAAACAGCCCACGGATTGGAAGGATCTGGGACGGATGCCGTCCATCCAAACCCAAACCCCTGTGCCTAACACCATCCACATATTCTGGGGAAGGTGCTCTGAGCATGTTCCTCTTGGTCTGTGGGGCTTTCCAGGAGAGGGAGGACCCAGGGGGTGCTTTGAGGTCCTCGCAGTGCTCATCAAACCCCACCATAACCTGGGAAGATGGGGCTTGTGGGTCCACAAAGGACCACAGCATGGGGATAGGAGCCAAATCCTGGACAGGCAAGAGTTCCTCCACTATCCCTCCCTCCAGAGCTCAGGTCTCCGGGTGTGAGACGTGTCCCACCTTCTTCACAGAGGCTGGCCAAGCTGCTCTTCGATGGCACGCAGATGGTGACAGATATCCAGGTGGCTGCTGACTTGAGGGAAACGCAGAGGAGGGCAGAGGAGGCAGAGCTGAAGCTGCAGAGGTAAGAGATGGCATGGGTGGGTCAGCTTTTGGAGGACATCCTAACCCTGGGCATCCCGGAACGCTTAGCAGTTAGGACAACACTGAATTTATATTCCAAAGGAAAATTTAGGCACACAAAGAGCCTCCAGGTCCAACCTGCCTCAGCTGGGACTTTGCAGAGCTCTGCAGCTCGAGGCTGGTGGCTTCCCCAGGTGGCATTGCTGTAACCATGGACTGTCTGGTCACTGATCTCCTCCAGGCCCTTCACATCTTCAGCTCCAGAGTGTGAGGAGCGCAGCTGGTTCTCAGCTTTTCACCAGGAGCCTCTACCACGTATGCTTGTGGCCTCCTTGCTCCAGAGGCATAGGCAGAGCTCAGCAGCTCTCCTGAGCCTGGAGGTGACACCGTGGTGGAGAACGTGCCACCTTGTGCTAAGAGGTGGCTCGTGAAATGGCCTGTTTCCAGAGGTTGCCTTCTGGTGATGGAGATAGGGATGGTTATTAGCCATGGGAGCGCACTGGGACAGCCACTGTGTGAGGAGTGGGAAGAACTGTGCTAATTGGAGAAGTTTGATATTAAGGTCTTTGCAGGGAGAGTGGTCAGATGCTGGGTCAGGAGCCCCTGATGTTCTAGAGATCTTCCTCCCTGGGGATACTCAGCACATTCCTGGACAAGGCCCTGCACAACCTGCTCTGACATTGAAAATAATCCTGCTGTGATTTTCCAAAGCCTTTCCAGCCTCGATTATTCTCAGATCTCTCTCTGTGCCTTCCCAATGAAACCTATCGTGCTTCACCAGAGGAGCTGGGCAGTCTCCAAGGGGCTGGATCTTTCATCCCTGTCCCCAGGACCGGGACATCAGTGAGGAAACACTGAGTCCTTGCTCCTGCTGCCTTTGGAGGGCACTGCAGGAACGGTTTACGGGAGGCTGCTGTAGCAGGATGCCTGTTCCTCACTCAGTGGGATTCCCAGTGGGAATCTCCTTAAGGAACCAGGTGCTGGGTTCAGGAACTGGCCGTAGAGCAGGTTTGGGGGTGACAAAGGTGGTGGCTGCTGTTCAGGCTGAGCCAAGGGCCATCCCCAGAGCACTTTGGATGGTGCCTCTGTTTGGAAGAGGAAAGAGTTTTATAATATGGCCATGGACTGTTCAGTGCCATTTGGCTTTAGCTGGAGTGCAGTGTCTGGACAGTTTGAATCCCAAGTCTAGGTGTCCCCCCTCAAGGGGCTCCAGGAAAGCTGGGGAGGGACTCTGGCTGAGGGAGGGGAGCCCTAGGAGGAGGGGGAAGGGTTGGACACTGCAAGAGGGGAGATGGAGCTGAGCTGTGGGGAAGAACTTGTTTGGTGGGAGGGTGGGGAGAGCCTGGCCCAGGTTGGCCCGAGAAGCTGTGGCTGCCCCATCCCTGGAGGGGTTGAAGGGCAGGTTGGAGGGGGCTTGGAGCAACCTGGTGTGGTGGGAGGTGTCCCTGCCCAGGGCAGGGGGTGGCACTGGGAGGGCTTTAAGGTCCCTTCCCACCCACACCATTCAATAAATCAATGATTCTATGTATCAGGAGGCTGTTTGTCACTGCTTGTCCACCACCTCTTGCTGTCCTGCTCCAGCTCACCATGTGCTCCTTGCTGCCTGCAGGGTGGAGAAACTGGAGAATGAAGCTGACTCTGGCACGTTCAAATTTGAGGAGATCACCTCCAAATGGGCCTTGGCCGAGGAGATGAAGGTCCCGCAGGAGCTGTGGCAGCTGCTGAACCAACAGCAGGAGCAGTGTGCCCTGCTTCTGGAGAAGAAGAACGAGCTCATCAGTGACCTGCAGCAGGTAGCGTGGGGACCAGGCAGGGACAACCAGGAAGGATCAGGGGTTCAAGCTCTGGAGGACACTGTTCTCCAGCAAAAGCCATCCCTGTCTGGCTTCTTCAGTCATCCCTCTGTCTGGATCCTCAATTTAAGTCTGTCCAGGACCTGGAGTGCCAGTGTCCCAGTGTGGAGGGTGAGGTTGGGTGCCCTGGCACCATTCAGCATGCAAGGACAGACACACAGGACATTGGTGGCAGTAAGAACAAATGGCAGGTCCCAAATTGCACAGTGAAAAAAAAGGCAAATGAGGAGAGAGAGGGTGTGAAGAGGGAAGAGACTCTTCCCCACAGCAGGTTCTCTGGCCCCCCAGAAAGGAGTGGGGTGTCTGCAGGAGTGTCACCTCCCTCTCCATCTCACCTGGACCTTTTGGTGGTGATGATCTGTCTCTCCTCCCACCTTCCCTCCTAACAGCCTCTTGACTTTCTGGCTCTTTGCTCTCATCCCCTCTTTCTCCTTTGGAAAAGGCAGCAGCTGGTTCTTACCCTCTCGGTCAATCCTTGAGGATTCCTGGTCAAGTGCTTCTCTCTGATTTCAACATCCTCTCTCCTCTCCCAGGAGCTGAAAAACAAAGACGAGCAATACGTGCAGGCCATCAAGAAGCAGTCAGATGACATCCACCTGCTTTTGGAGAGAATGGAGGAACAGATCAGGCTCCTGCTGAAAACCTACCGACACAATCTCCTGCAGATTGAGGTAGCTGGTTCGTATGGTGGGGGAATAGTCCAAGGAGAAAACCTGCAGCCTCTTGCTCCTCCATATCTGTGGCAAAAAGGCCCCCAGTCTGCAGCTGATCCTCTCCTGGGGGCTGCTGGCCTGGGCTGGTGAAAGGTTGGCAATGAGCAGTGCCAACATGATGGTGAAGGGCTGTGTCTCCTTCACAGAAAACTTTTGAGCTGGAACGGCAAGAGCTGCTGGACAACAATAGGAAGAAGTGGGAGGAAGGCATCCAGGCCCACAACACACAGGAGGTAATGTCCATGTGAGATTTAAAATCATGGAATCATAGAATCATTTAGGTTGGAAAAGACCCTCAAGATCGTTAAGTCCAACTGCTAACCCAACACTACCCAAGTCCCCACTGACCCATGTCCCTCAGCACCACGTCTGCCCGGCTTTTCAATCCCTCCAGGGATGGGGACTCCACCACTGCCCTGGGCAGCCTCTGCCAAGGCTTCACAACCCTTTCCATGAAGAAATTCTTCGCAATCTCCATCCTAAACCTCCCCTGGTGCAACTTGAGGCCGTTTCCTCTTGTCCCATGGCCTGTTCCTTGGGAGAAGAGACCGACCCCCCCGGCTACACCCTCCTTTCAGGGAGTTGGAGAGAGCGAGAAGGTCTCCCCTCAGCCTCCTCTTCTCCAGGCTGAACCCCCCCAGCTCCCTCAGCCTCTCCTCACAAGACTTCTGCTCCAGACCCCTCACCAGCTCCGTTGACCTTCTCTGGACATGCTCCAACACCTCAAGGTCTTTCCTGTCGTGAGGGGCCAAAGGCTGCCTTGAAAAACAAAGGCAGCTGGTTTCTCAAGAGCGTGGGGGGCAGAGGGGCAATTTTTCAGCCTGCTCTGTGGGGGAATTGTACATGTGTGACCTTGCTGTGGGCTGGCCAAAGGAGCTGGGATGGCAGGAGGAAGCTGTCACCGCTAATGGATGACGTTCTCCTTTTGCCCGTAGCTGGAATACCTCCGTGGCCGGATGAAGAAGATGGAAGAGTTTGAGAAACAGCTGCATCAGCTGCGGGTGCAGGACGAGGAGGAGTATAACAGCATGAAGATCCGACCCCAGAACGACGTGGAGGTACAGAAAAGCTGAACGTGTGCCATGTGGGGAGGCAGAGTCTGATCTCCCTGAGCTTTGCTGTCTGTAGCTGGTGCTGTGGGGCAGCTGGAGGGTGTGAAAGGTGCAGCCAGTGTCTGGTCATAGAATCATAGAATGGTTTGGGTGGGAAGGGACCTTAAAGCCCCGCCAGTGCCACCCCCTGCCCTGGGCAGGGACACCTCCCACCACACCAGGTTGCTCCAAGCCCCCTCCAACCTGCCCTTGAACCCCTCCAGGGATGGGGCAGCCACAGCTTCTCGGGGCAACCTGGGCCAGGCTCTCCCCACCCTCCCACCAAACAAGTTCTTCCCCACAGCTCAGCTCCATCTCCCCTCTTGCAGTGTCCAACCCTTCCCCCTCATCCTAGGGCTCCCCTCCCTCAGCCAGAGTCCCTCCCCATCTCTCCTGGAGCCCCCCTTCTTGAGGGACTGGCAGGGGCTCCAAGGTCTCCGTGGAGCCTTCTCTTCTCCAGGCTGACCCCCCCCAACTCTCTCAGCCCCCCCTCCCAGCAGAGGGGCTCCAGCCCTCCCAGCATCTCCGGGGCCTCCTCTGGCCCCATCCAACAGCTCCATGTCCTTCTGCTGTTGGTGGCCCCAGAGCTGGAGGCAGCATTGGGGGATCTCCCCAGAGTGGAGCAGAGGGGCAGAATCCCCCCCTGGCCCTGCTGGCCACGCTGCTGGGGATGCAGCCCAGGATGTGGGGACTTTTTGGGCTGCCAGCCCTCATTGCTGGCTCCTGTTGATCTTCTCAAGTTGGCACATCAACTCTTCACTGCACACATTCCAGCCCCATGTCAACAGGGGGATGGAGCTGTTCTGTTCTCTCCATGGGTCCTACACCACGGTGTCCATCTGCCCTTGGCTCTCAGAGCACAGGAACTGTAGCTCTAGGACATGTGAAGCACCTGGGAAGGTGAAGGGGTTTGCTACTCCTGGCATCTTGACTGATAGAAGGATTGAATAGTGTGAGTATCCTGACACCAGATCATTTCAGATCAACCTAATTTCCTCCTTTTCCATCATCCATGTCCTAGGAGGTGTGAGCTTGTTCCTCTGACATCTGCCCATAGACTCAGGATTTCTCTAATGCCCTTGAAGTCTACTCAGTGTGAGAGTTATCACAAGTATGCCCTTACTCATCAGGGGCTCTCACTGCAGATCCAAACCTCATAGCCATGGCTTTCCCAAGAAACAGATACTTCTAATCCCTGGCATTCTCTGGGAGCAGCAGTGTCAGTGGCTCCCTGTCATCCTGCAGGATGGCAGCTCCAGCTTTGGTCCTGGCTTTGCCCAGCACTGTGCAGCCTCTGCTCAGCTGGCACCTTCCCATCTTGTTTTCCTGTGTTTCTTCCCAGCTAGAGATGGGACACGTCGCATTTGGACTTTAGATCAGCTCATTGTTTGTCCCATGGGATGTCCCCCTGGAAGCCCAGGAAAATACAGGCTATTTTTAGAAGGTTTTGCACAACTTCAGGTGAAATATTAGTGTTGCAAGATCCCTGTCAGCCTGAAAAGGGCAAGTCCAGGGAGGCCGGTCCTGACTCGAGATGGGACACGTCGCATTTGGACTTTAGATCAGCTCATTGTTTGTCCCATGGGATGTCCCCCTGGAAGCCCAGGAAAATACAGGCTATTTTTAGAAGGTTTTGCACAACTTCAGGTGAAATATTAGTGTTGCAAGATCCCTGTCAGCCTGAAAAGGGCAAGTCCAGGGAGGCCGGTCCTGACTCAGTTTTACTACAACAGATACAATAAACTTTATATAAAGTTATAAAAGTTATCTTTATGGTCCTTTCTTTTACTTCCTTGCTCTGCTTTCTTAGTTTTAAAATTATCACCTAAGAAAGGGACTACATGGTCTCTAGAGTTCCCTTCCAACTCTGACAAAAACTCTTCAAACTTTTACAATTTCAGTGAATGATTGATGATACACAAGTTTGCATGGTCTCTATTATATTATGAACATTGTTAAATCTATCTTAGGAGTCTGAAATTAATTTCCTTGAGGATTCTGAGGAAGTGTAATGTTCACTAAACACAGAAAGCTTAGTACAGTTTCTTGTGAGATTCAACTATAAAGGAGTTTCTTCACCTTTATGTCCATAACCTGGGAGGTGACACAGAGTGTGTGACACTCACAGGTGGCTCTGAGCCATTTGGGGAGGGAGGTGGCAACACTCTGGGGATAGAGACTTAAAAATGACAACCTGGGGCTGTTGTATAAAAGCACCCACTGCATTTTGCTGCAGTTGTGGGAGAGTTTATATAAAAGATAATTATTCCTCTCTACTTCATACCCACATGGCCTTGTCCACCTTTGGCAACACGTTTTGATGTGTGGAAACAAACCTTTCCAACTCGAATAGACTTATCAAGCAGGAATGTTTATTGTGGCAACGGGTGCAAGGGGGATCTCTCCTCCTGCCTTGCACACCCTCATGCAAAGCAAGCACTTATTTATAATGCAAATCATATAAGCTATGGGACGGACTGATACAATTAGTTCTCAGATAGGCGGGACTATGTTAATTATTTCCGGGAGCTCGTTATAATAAGTCTCCTCCCTCAGGCACATTGCCTCCTGGTGGTCTTCTTCAGGGGTCTCTGGGAGGAAGGCCCCCAGTCTTCTTCATGGTGAATTTTTCCCTTTTGCCAAGTTGGCTGTTTTCCCAACTGCTGAGTTGGTTCACACTGGTTGTTCTGCTGGCTGAGGCCTTCAAGTTTACTGTTGTCATCCCTGTAAGTCATTTATTATGACTGTAAGTCATAATGTTCCTCTTTCAAGGCTGTGATATACATCCACTAAGTGTCTAAGCCCTTTGTTTTCTATATGCTCATTACATGGTTAACTCCCTTGTTTTCTTTCCACTAAATGATTAAGCTCTTTGTTTCTTCTCTCTCAGTTTGGAAACGGAGGAGAGAGTCTAGAACAGACCAAGGAGACAAATGACCTCTAAGAAAAGGTTGAAAAGGTTGGGGCTGCTTAGACCAGGGAAGAGATTTATGGAGGGAAGTGATAAGTCTACAAATATTCACATTTCTGTATGATGGAGGGCGATTTCTTCTCTGTCTCTGCTGTAGATGCAAGAAAAAATCACGGGGTTGAGTTTTGGTGGAGAAGATTTAAATTGGCATTTGCATTTAGGGTTGAAATTCCAAGGTAGGAAAGCCTGGAAAGGGCAAGGGCTTGCTTGGTGGTTAACTAGAGTGACGTGGTCTGCTGCTCTTTGATGGAGGGGTTAGGGTTTAGGTAAATCAACTTCTGCTGGGGCTGATTTGGTGAAGTTGTGCCCTCGGTGGGGTAGAAGAACTGGATGTCCTCCTGGTTCCCTTTAGCACCACAGTTGTCTAACTGTATAGCACAGATTTAACCCTTCCAGGTCAGGGAGAATAAGAAAACAGAAGGAGAAAACCCCTCTTTTCCTGATTAACCTGTGATATCATCGTTCTGAGGTATCTCAGGAGCTTAGCCAGGACCTAAAGATGAAGTCTGTGGTTGGGGGGTTATGGAATACTCCCCAGTTTCACCAGATGGGAATCAGCTTTTTAAATATAGAGGTTGGGCCATGGCTTTTGTCCGTCTGCTGCGAGGAGAAGGTCCCTTGGCCCTGCTTGGATTTACCTCCATCTTTTCTTCCATCCATCCACCTTTGATCTCAGCCATCTGGGACTGCTCCTGGGTGTCTTCCCAGGCTGTTTGCATGCTCCCTGTTGTACCTAGGGCTACCCCGGAGAGCTCTGAGCCAGCTGACCCTGGTACCAGTGCCTTCCCTGCCTCCACCCTGCACCTCAGGACCTTCTACCTGCCCCCAGAGATGCCCCTGAGCCGGGAGCAGGGGAGAAACCCCACTGGGTCCCTGCTGTGCAGATTTCTGGGCCCTGAAGCTGGAATTTGGAGCCATGCAGCAGCTTAAAGGAAGGCCCTTCCTATCTTGGAAGAAGTCTTTATGGGCCTCCCCAGTAAAGCAGTGTATGATGAGTTTTATTTTCAGATTTCTGCCTCTTTTTGCACATGGAAAACATTTGTACCAATTAATTAAACCACACCAGGCCAAGACACCACCTCTCACCCATCCGTGCTGCCCGCTCCCAGAGTTTCCATGCCCCTGGGTCACAGAATCACAGAATCACATGGGGTTGGAAGGGACCTTTGGAGATCATCTCCTCCAACCCCCTGCCAGAGCAGGTCCCACCCAGAGCAGGTCCCACAGGAACATGTCCAGGCGGGTTTGAATGTCTCCAGAGAAGGAGACTCCACCACCTCTTTGGCAGCTCCTTCCAGGGCTCTGACACCCTCACAGGAAAGAAGTTCCTCCTCATGTTTAGGTCCTCCTGAGCTCATTTCCAGACGAGCTGGTATGGCTGAGAGAGAGCAGCTCATAGGCAGAGTGGGATGTCTCTCAGCCCCAGGAGACTGGGGCTACAACTTCAGTGTATTCTCCCTTCCCCAGACACAGCCCTGTATCATGTACTCATGGACAACCAGCATCTCCACGTGGCCAGGGGTTACCTGGGGAGCTGTGGGTGGGAGGAGGGGGTTTGGAGATGCAGGATGAGTAGGATCCAGGCTCCAGTGGAGCTTTTGCTTATGGCACGGCTTGTTTTTCATGTTTTTTGAAACGCCAGCACCTGGAGAGGCAGCTCCAACAGTTCAAAGCCATCTATCTGCTGAACCAGGAGAAGCTGGATTACAGCCTTCAGGTGCTGAAGAAGCAGGATGAGGAGAACACCATCATGAGATCCCAGCAGAGGAGGAAGCTCAACCGGTAAAAATGCATCCCTGGAAGATGGGCTCTGCCTTATCTGCCATCACCCACCTCCTATATGCCATTTTTTGGGGAGCCCATCACCCAGCACAGGCCAACAAGCTCTGTCCCAACCCACCCCTGGCCAGAAGCAGGGGTTAAAGCCCAGGGCAGGGCCATTTCCAGAGCGCCATGGCCAACCTGTGCCCACTGCCTCGGGGTCCCAAAGTCTTCATACAAGTTGGGTGCCTCTTCGGGGTTGCTCAGCTCTGTTGTCCCTCTCCAGGCTCCACAGCTTGCTCAATAATCTGAAAACAAAGCTGGCCAACCAGGAGAAGCAGTTCAGGGAGGAGAACCAGAGCCTGGCAGCTGACTGCAAGCGCATCGTGGGGCAGTGCAAGGAGGCGCAGAGGAGCATGAGGTGGGGTTTCCACTGGTGTCCACCTGTGGTGAGGCCTCAGAGCACTTACGTGAGGTCCAGGGGGGACTGACTCATCAGTTTTTTGAAACGCCAGCACCTGGAGAGGCAGCTCCAACAGTTCAAAGCCATCTATCTGCTGAACCAGGAGAAGCTGGATTACAGCCTTCAGGTGCTGAAGAAGCAGGATGAGGAGAACACCATCATGAGATCCCAGCAGAGGAGGAAGCTCAACCGGTAAAAATGCATCCCTGGAAGATGGGCTCTGCCTTATCTGCCATCACCCACCTCCTATATGCCATTTTTTGGGGAGCCCATCACCCAGCACAGGCCAACAAGCTCTGTCCCAACCCACCCCTGGCCAGAAGCAGGGGTTAGTCCAGGGCAGGGCCATTTCCAGAGTGCCATGGCCAACCTGTGCCCGCTTCCTCAGGGTCCCAAAGTCTTCATACAAGCTGGGTGCCTCTTTGGGGATGCTCAGCTCTGTTGTCCCTCTCCAGGCTCCACAGCTTGCTCAATAATCTGAAAACAAAGCTGGCCAACCAGGAGAAGCAGTTCAGGGAGGAGAACCAGAGCCTGGCAGCTGACTGCAAGCGCATCGTGGGGCAGTGCAAGGAGGCGCAGAGGAGCATGAGGTGGGGTTTCCACTGGTGTCCACCTGTGGTGAGGCCTCAGAGCACTTACGTGAGGTCCAGGGGGGACTGACTCATCATCTGGGGGCACAGAACCTCCTCCCACAGGCCACCTCCCTTCTGCACAGGCACTTTGCTGTCAGCGATGCCCAGAAGTTCACAGAGGTCTGGCTTATGAACGAGGAGGAAGCCAAGGGGCTGATGAGGAAAGCTCTCGACGCAGATCGCATCATTCACGCCCAGCAACTGGGGCTGCCCTGGGAAGAGCCCAATTACTGGTTCCTGCACAATGTGGGCCCCCTCAAGCGTTACAAGGTGAAGAGGATGGCCACCAAGCTGGCTGCGGAGGTCATGACAGGTGGGATGGATGTACAGTGCCCTTGTCACCCTTGTGGCACTGGGAGACTCTCACTTTCCTCCATGACAGCCCCTACTGACACTCCTGTCCTTGCCATGGCAAGGTGGCATCTTACAGGGGTGACTTTGTGTCCCCAGCCCTGAGCTTGGGCATCTTTGCACTGTTCCAGATGAGCTGACCAAGAGCCAGCTCGTGTCCCAGGGTCTTCAGGGTGGTTTCCAGGTCACCAGGGAATAATTGTGATTTCCCTGATGACTCCTGTAGTGATGTGACCAGGGACCACAGCCTGGGGACCTCAACCAAAGCACAAAGGTTTTTCCTCACCCTTCTTTCTCCCTGTTTCAGAGAGCAGCTCTGGGGGACAGGAGGAGGAAGGGAGGAAGAAGGAGAAGGAAGAAGAAAGCAGTGGAGAAGGAGTAAAAGAAAAGGCAGTGAAGGTTGAGGACGGGGTCACACCTCTGCGGAACATCTCCAAGAAGACTGCCAAGAGGATCCTGGAGCTCGTGAGCGATGAGTCGGTGTGTGACAATGTCCCCTGGTCCCTCCAGCTTGTAGTGGACCTTTTCTGAGTTCCACCTCTTGGGGTGAAGGCTTCTGTGTGGCACAGGCTGTGATCAGAGAGCTGCCCCACAGACCGGGAGAAGATCTCCAGGTCTTTCCACTGTGTGTGGCACATATATGATGCTAATAAAATGTATTGGGAGGCACAGTTGCCCAAATTCACAGCGTCCCAGACCAGAATAAGCACAGGTAAACTGGGATCTGATACTCCAGGCTGTTCCCCATCTCTGGGAACAATGAGTAAGAGCTTCAGACCATGAGGTCCTTTGGGCATCACCATGTTGATCTTCTTTCTCTGCTGGGTGGCTGTTCTGGAGCCTCCTGCCTGGCCTCTGCCCACCCTCTCTGCTCCTCCTGCCATCGTAGGATGGCACAGGCATGGCACAGCACTGGCTGACTTCTGGGCAGGGACAGAGACACTATTTCTCTGTATCTTCTCTGCGTGTCTCCCAAGGGTTTCCTCATTGAGAAGAAGCTGCTGAAGCCCCTGAATGCGCTGGGGAGGCCCGAGCGCACCCTCATGAAGCTCGACTCCATCTTTGCGGTGAGTCATGGCTTGGCCCATCAGGGGGTCACCAGGGAAAGTTCTCTGCTCCTCGTCCATGTGGCGTAGGACTGAGCCACCCACCTCAGGGAGGTCTGGCTGGGCTGCTGAGAGGTACCCTGGGCCAGCAAGGGGGGAGGAACACCATGAGAGGGTGTGCAGAGCTGTGGCCACACACTTCGCAGCTCAAGGACATCCTGCTGATGAATTGAACATCTCCAGGGCCCTTCCAGCCTTGTGTGGCACCCTCTGCTCCTGGGAAATGCTTTCCATTTCGTTCCCCCTCCCATAACATCTCTGAGGGACACCTAACCTGGTTCCTCTCCTCCCCAGGCTCTCGGGATCGACACTGAAGATGACCTGTACCAGCTGGTGGATTTTTTCCAGAAGTACAAAGCCCAGGAGGTGGCTCTCAGCCAGGTGGGACCACCAGGGACAGCAGTGGGGACAGCCCAGCAGAGCTGGGGGTCCAGGGAAGGGGGAGGAGAACATCTGAACACCCAGGGAAGGTAGAGAAGGGGACCCTGAAATATTTCCCTGTGACCGGACATGGGAGGTGAACGTGCCAGGTTGGAGAGGTTTTAATCTTCTGCCATGGTTGAACAGAGCCTCTTGCACATGATTTTTTGCCTTGGCTCCCTAAATTTGACAAGGGATAAAGCTGGAAGGTCCCAGGGGGAAGGTGGTTCTTGGGAAGGAGGAGTGGGTGGAAGTTACACTGCCCAGTTTGCTGGTCTTCTCTGCAGAGCCAGGACAGCCCGGGTGGAGAAGGTGTCACGGATCCAGCTGAGGACAGAGGGGACGATGGATCAGGTGCTCAGAGGGACGAGCTCAAATCCCCTGGGACCTCACCAGGCTCCCTTCCATCTCTGCACGTCCACGCTGATGAGGTCCTAAAGATCCTGAAAATGTTTGTGCAGGATTTTGAAAAACCAAGGTAGGACTTGGTGGGGGGAACAGGGCTCACTGGGAGGGAGCCAGACTGGGACAGAGGGGGCTGTGCAGGCAGGGATGGGGGTGATGGGATTGCCCTGGCTGGAGGAAGAGCTTCCCCTGCAAGATCACAGAGGGAGGTCCCACCAGGGCAAGGGAGAGGTCCACCAGGTCCCACCCTGGGCAGGGACACCTCCCACCACACCAGGTTGCTCCAAGCCCCCTCCAACCTGCCCTTGAACCCCTCCAGGGATGGGGCAGCCACAGCTTCTCGGGGCAACCTGGGCCAGGCTCTCACCACCCTCCCATCAAAGAACCCTGGAGGGATTTAAAAACCAGGCAGACGTGGTGCTGAGGGACATGAGTCAGTGGTGGGTTTGTCAGTGTTGGGTTGATGGTTGGACTCCATGATCTGAAAGGTCCCTTCCAACCTGGACAAGTCTATGATTTTATGATCTCTGAAGGTCCCTTACAGCCCCAGCCATTCTGAGGTGGTGCTCAGTGCAGCTGAGCTGCTCCTCACCCGTGAAGAGCTGAGCCCCAGGGCTTTCTTCTCTGTCCCCCAGGGAGAAGGACAGACCAGCAAAGGAGGTGCCACAGGTGCCAGAGAGCTCTGAGGACGGGCAGTACTGGGCATCCCTGGCACAGGTTATCCCCGAGCCCACCCTGAAGCTGTGGGACGCGCTGGCGGTGGCACTGGAGGAATATTAGTGAGTGCACAGCAGCCATGCTGGGGACAGGGCAGGCTGGGGGGACCTCAGTGGGGCTGGCAGGTGCCAACCCTCTGTCCTGCTCTCCCCAGCGAGGTCCTGATGAGGAGGTCCACCCTTCTGACCGAAACAGCCGTCCTGCAGCAGCAGAACTCAGAGCTCTACCTTCTGCTGAAGGAGTACGTCAGCTCTGGGGTGAGTGTCATCCTCCTCCCCTGCAGAGCCTTGGGGACATGCCACCACGTGTGCCCCACGCAGAGGTCCCAGGGGGCTGGAGCCCATCACTGTTGGGCTGTTTCTCCCCACAGGTGAACTGTCACCCCCCGTGAAGTGGAGAGACTTGAACATGTCCTGGTCTGGGGGAGCACGGTGAGTGCCCATGGCCAGGGCACAGCTTCTTCTCTGTCCCCACCTCAAGTTGTGCCCGGAGCCAGGGCTTCCTGGCAGGAATTAATAAACCCTTCCCAAACCTGCGTGTGTGCCCTGCAAGGAGTGTCCTTCTCACCTCTGAAGGTGCTGGGGAGTGTCCCCCAGATCCAGGGGGTTCCGTGGGAGGGCATTTCCCCACTCGTGCTGCAAAGCTGCGTGGTCTGGGGGACAGTGGGGGGCAGAAATGCCAACAAAAAGACCCCAAATTGAGAAGGGGACAGGGCTTTGGGGCAGAGCTGGGCAGGGGAGTGGAAGACCCCAACTGGCACATCTCAGCTCTGGGACACCCAGGACCACCAAGGGGCCAGCCCCCGGAGTCACAGAATCACAGAATCTTCTAGGTTGGAAGGGACCTTAAAGATCATCTTGTCCAACCGTCAACCCAACTGACAAAAATAGACACCCACACAACAAACAAGGAGCATCATCACTAACCCAGACCTCCCAGCACTACATCAACCCGTCTTTTGAACACCTCCAGGGATGGGGCCTCAACCACCTCCCTGGGCAGCCCATTCCAATGCCTGAGAACCCTTTCTGTGAAAAATTTTTCCTAATATCCAGCCTGAACCTCCCCTGGGGCAACTTGAGGCCATTTCCTCTGGTCCTGTCGCCTGTGACTTGAGAAAAGAGACCGACCCCCACCTCTCTACACCCTCCTTTCAGGGACTTGTAGAGAGCAAGAAGGTCTCCCCTCAGCCTCCTCTTCTCCAGGCTGAACACCCCCAGTTCCCTCAGCCTCTCCTCATCAGACTTGTTCTCCAGACCCCTCACCAGCTTTGTTGCCCTTCTCTGGACCCACTCCAGCACCTCAATGTCTTTCTTGTGGTGGGGGGGCCCAAAACTGGACACAGCCCTGGAGGTGAGGCCTCACCAGTGCCCAGTACAGGGGGACGATCACCTCTCGGGCCCTACTCCCCACACTGTTCCTGACACAGCCCAGGATGCTGGTGGCCTTCTTGGCCACCTGGGCACACTGCTGGCTCATCTTCAGCCCACAGGCCACCAACACCCCCAGGTCCTTCTCTGCCAGGCAGCTCCAGCCACTCTGCCCCCAGCCTGGATCATCCATGGGGTTGGTGGGACCCAAGTGCAGGACCTGGCACTTGGCCTTGTTGAACCTCAAGGGGATGTTTGGGAACCTGGGACAGAGTGGGTGTCAGTGGTCCCATCCCCATGGAGGGGGTGGGAGGGTGGCAGGAGACCCCTAAACCCCCCAAACCCTACACTTGAGGGGTGTGGGGGTCGTGACCCGGTGAAGATGCCCCCCCAGCAGCAGCAGGGGGGCTGAAACCGGGGACGGTAGAGCCCCCCTGCAGGACCTGGCACTTGGCCTTGTTGAACCTCAAGGGGATGTTTGGGAACCTGGGACAGAGTGGGTGTCAGTGGTCCCATCCCCATGGAGGGGGTGGGAGGGTGGCAGGAGACCCCTAAACCCCCCAAACCCTACACTTGAGGGGTGTGGGGGTCGTGACCCGGTGAAGATGCCCCCCCAGCAGCAGCAGGGGGGCTGAAACCGGGGACGGTAGAGCCCCCCGGA